TGCTCGTGTTGCCATGGTAACCCAGGGCCTGCAAGCCAACCATGTCTTACTTAATGTACCCTGCTTCTGGAGGCCGATAAAAACAATGTTTCTGTACAAGGTTTGGGCTTGATTCAGACTTTTGATTCAGATGGAGAGGGAGAGAGAGAGAGAGAGAGAGAGAGAGAGATGTTCCACATAAGAGAAAAGAAAGAACAATATGTAGGAAATGAGTCTGTGGTTCCAGCAACTGGAACAGAAAGAATTGCTAGATTGGTATGATACCTGCAGAGCGTTCAATCGTAAGCACCCAGCTCAGGGAAACTCGCTCGGAGAAGAGAAAAATCTCTCAGAGATTTAAAGATCCCATTGAAATTCACACAGTGAATCACGCTTCCCCCACAAAGGCCACTTAAGTTGAGACAGTGAATGAACACAAGTCCCTCTAACAAGGCTGTGCTGACAGGTTTGGTATTTCCTTTGAGTTTTACTGCTATGCCTGTGGAAGATCTGTGGTTCTTTCTGTTGTTATCAAATGGCCACATATGATTTATTTATTTATTAAAAAAGCTTTCCACAATTGTCTCCCTGTCTTCAAAGTCTTGGCAAGGCAGACACAGCTCTGCTTGGGGTTAGATTGATTCTTTCATTTCCTTTCCTTCCTTACACTACTTTGTCTGCCATTGGCCAGGCTTGCAAACATCCCTAACTAAGAAATGCAAGAACTCCTGAGGTTACGGAACAGGCAGATTGCAGAGTCTCTCTCAAATATGGCAGGCCAACATTGTTACGTATAGAACTTCCGTTCCCTAACAGTTCATCCCATCTTCCCAGTATATCACTCATACAATGTGCAGAAAGAAGGATCAGGCTCAGAGCAGGCCTAGCTCCAATCCCAATTGTAAACCACCTTATTGTCACCTATGTAAAACTAAAAATGTCATTTGTTTCTATAGAAAACAGCAATTCAATTCTTTCAATATATTAATTGCTTCACATAGGGAGTCCTGAAGCTATTTATAACAACGTACAGTATTTATACACAATGCAAATCCATTAGAACTGAAAGTGTTCATTCGCAAAGTCACCCAACAACATAAATATATGTTTTTACCCGTCCTACCCACATAAGGATGAAGACCTAAATAAACAGCCCAAAGACAGCTATTAGTGCTTTCCAAATGCCTGGGAGAATAAAAACATCCTTATCTAGAGCCACCTACTAAATACTGAGAAAGGCTCAGATCTCAGGGTCTAAGTAAATTCATGTGGGAAAAGGTGGTCCATTAAGTACTGGGTCCTGAGTAGTGTAAGTCTTTATAGGTCAAAACCAGCACTTTGAGTGGCTTGGAAACAACTGAACAGCCAGTACTCCTTCATTGTGAGCATGGCCTGATCTAGAAGAAGTTGCACCTCACCCATCTGGCTTGGGGTGCCACCTACTAATGGCATTTCTCTCTTGCCTGAATTGAACATCAGTTTGTTGCCCAGCAACCAGTTCATTACCAACATGGGTGCCAAGCATGTGGTTAAGATTGTCCGAAGAAATGTCAACAACCTCAGATATGCAGATGACACAGCCTCAATGGCAGAAAGTGAGGAGGAATTAAAGAACCTTTTAATGAGGGTGAAAGAGGAGAGTGCAAAATATGGTCTGAAGCTCAACATCCAAAAAAACGAAGATCATTGCCACTGGTCGCATCACCTCCTGGCAAATAGAAGGGGAAGAAATGGAGGCAGTGGGAGATTTTACTTTCTTGGGTTCCATGATCACTGCGGATGGTGACAGCAGTCGTGAAATTAAAAGACGCCTGCTTCTTGCAATGACAAACCTAGACAACATCTTAAAAAGCAGAGACATCACCTTGCCGACAAAGGTCCGAATAGTTAAAGCTATGGTTTTCCCAGTAGTGATGTGTGGAAGTGAAAGCTGGGCCATAAAGAAGGCTGATCACAGAAGAATTGATGTTTTTGAATTATGGTGCTGGAGGAGACTCTTGAGAGTCCCATGGACTGCAAGAAGATCAAACCTATCCATTCTTAAAGAAATCAGCCCTGAGTGCTCACTGGAAGGACAGATCCTGAAGCTGAGACTCCAATACTTTGGCCACCTCATGAGAAGAGAAGACTCCCTGGAAAAGACCCTGATGTTGGGAAAGATTGAGGGCACAAGGAGAAGGAGACGACAGAAGACAAGATGGCTAGACAGTGTTCTCGTAGCTACTAAAATGAGTTTGACCAAACTGCGGGAGGCAGTGGAAGACAGGAGTGCCTGGCGTGCTCTGGTCCATGGGGTCACAAAGAGTCGGACATGACTAAACGGCTAAACAACAACAACGGGTATGTAGGAAGCTGTCTTATACTGGTCCATCAAGATCAGTATTATCTACACCAACTGGCAATGACTAGAAACTCTGATGTAGCTATTGCCCAGTCCTATCTGCCAGTGCAAGAGACAGATCTCAGGACAGCCTTCTCCAATATCTGGCCTTCCATATTTTTTTGTACTACAACTCCCATCACCCCCAAGCAGCATGGCCAGTGGTTAGGGATGATGGGAGCTGCAGTACAAACAAATGGAGGGCATCGGGTTAAGGAAGGCTAGTCTATAGCTTTCTGCATGCAAACCATGTTCTACCACTTGACTATGGTTTCTCCTTTTATGGTCACTTTTCCATCACTGCATGGCCAGGCCCTCACTAAGAATGCTCCTAAAAATTAATGTGATGTTTCCTAGCATGCAAAGCACAGATTCACATTTCTCACCTCCACTCTCCAACAATCATTGCAACATAGAAGTCCTCAGTTCATATGCACACTCACCACCCTATTACAATAGACTGCTTGTTGTTGTTGTTGCTAATGTTGAAAATAAAGGCCACTTTGATGTTGTGATGTCCGAAGAGTGTGTTCTTTGCACTAGAATAAATAGTGACCTTTTGAAATAACAACTCTGACAACTAAAGGACATTTGTCAGCCCTTCCCAGCTAATATTCTTTCCTTGAATGAAGCTCCTAGTGTTCTGGCCACTGAACTTTGAGTGAACATTTGACTTGCACACTCCCTATTAACAAGGTACATCTCTTTTTCTTCCTGTCCCTTATAAATAACCGTGGCTCATGTTATTGCTTCACAGTGCAGGACTCAAACCAATGGCTTAAAATCACAAGTCACAAATTCCATTAAAATTACAAATGGGAATTTCAAATTGTCAGATTGCCAAATTACATTAGGAAGAAGCACCTGATGGTATGAGCTGCTTGACAATGGAACGGGCTGCCTCGGAAAGTGATGAGCTCTCCTTTGTTAAAGTTCTTTAAACTGAGGCTGGCTGGATGCTGCTCTGGGACACTTCTGCAGTGAATTCCCTATATCAGATGGAAGTTGGATTAGATGGTTTTTGAGCTCCTTTCCAACTCTATAATTCTACAATTATAGATAGGAAGGGGAAGTTGCATAAACAGAAAAACCAACCAACCAAACAAAAAATGCTTAACTTGTGAAGATTCTCTGTGGTGGCCGGAGCTACCGTATTTTTCCGTGTATAAGACTAGGGGGTTTTTTAAACCAAAAAAATAGGTTTAAAATTGTGGCTCATCTTATATGTGGGTAGTGCTGAGGGATGTTTTCTTAATTTGGAATCCCCCAAAATAGGGGGCATCTTATACATGGGGGCGTCCTATAGACGGAAAAATACGGTATATTTGTCATAACGTGTTGTGCTGTATCCACAGAGGCACTTGTGTATGTCACCTAGTGGTGATTGTTGTATGGAATCCCCTGATTGCCCAGGAAAGCTCAGAGAGCAGCAACCTCCATTTTGTAGCCAGATATGGCTAGTCTGCCAGGAGGCAGCATCTCACCTGAGCCCTGCCTTTTGTATAATATTTTTATTAATTTTGATGAAAACAGAAACATTACATTTAAGGGGGCGAAGCATTAAATAAAACAATTAAAAAAACTATATATACAATCCATATTGAATCCACAGTATGGGATTACTTGAATCCCCTTATTCTCTCCACCCCCTCCCTTGGTTCCTTTATAATATTTTCATTCACACATGTCAATAAAGTCTTTATCTCTGATTACTTCCAATTTTGTGCATTGTCTATAATATTACAAGTGGTTTGTTTGTTTTTTAAATCCTGCTAATGTATTAACTTGTGTACATTGCTTTTGCAGCTTTGAGGCAGGTTTGCCTTCTCACTTTCACCAGACTTCACCATCATTAGCAATATTCCCTTCCTCTCTTGTCCCCCCTCCCTCCTAGTTTTCTCCTGCCATGGTTGACAATAAAAGTTTGATATTTTGACCAGATGGCATCCATCTCTTCCTGTGCATGAGTCTACCTAGTTTAGCTCTCTGGAGCCACATTAATGGATGTGCAGTGGGCACAGAAAATGTGTAATCATGTCTTTGTATGGCATTACACATCCTACAGTGGCATGGGAAATGCTGGTTGCCCCAAGTGAAAAATCATTTAGCACTGGAAAAGGTACAGAAAACTGATCAGAGGACTGAGTGCCTTTCCAACAAGGAAAAACTAGAGCATCCATGGTTTTTCAGTTTGGAAAAAATATGACAGAGATCTATAAAATAATGAATGGTGGGGATAAAGTAGGGAGCCCTGTGTGCATGTTTAAGAGCATAAGAACAGCCTGACAGATCAGGTGAATGGTCAAATCCATTATCCTGGTCTCACAGTAGCCAACAGATGCCTATGGGAAGCCTGCAAATGCACTTGAGGGCAATAACACTCTCCCCACTTGTGGTATTCAGAGACATACTGCCTTTGGCAGCAGAGGTAGTTATCATGTCTAGTAGCCACTGATAGGCTTATCCTCAATGAATTTGTCTAATTCTCTTTTAAATACATCCAAATTGGTGGCCATCACTGGCTCCTGTGGGATTGAATTCCTTCGTTTTAACCATGATTCTAGATTCAGGTAGGTAGCCGTGTTGGTCTGACACAGTCTAAATAAATAAATAAATAAATAAATAAATAAAGTCCAGTAGCACCTTAGAGACCAGGTAAGTTTGTTCTGGGTATAAGCTTTCATGAAGAAGTGTGCATGCACACGAAAGCTTATACCCAGAACAAACTTAGTTGGTCTCTAAGGTGCTACTGGACAATTTTTTAATTATTTTTAAAATAGTTTTAACCATGTACTGTGTGAGGAAGTGCTTCCACTTCTCTGTCCCGACTCTTCCAAAATTCTGCATTATTTAGGGTTGCCATATTTCAAAAAGTGAACATCCGGACACAAAAGTTGTTGAGCTTTTTCTGGCAAAGTTGTTGAACTTTCTTGCAAAATCTCTCCCCCTCTGAAAAAAAGAGAAGTTTTTGAGCTATTTTTAGGACATGGCTCTATCAACAGCTAGTAGCTGTGATAAATAAATCTGTCTTCAGAGCCTATATACTGGGAACATACAGCAGAAGGCCTGCTTCCTTCTTGCCTTGTTTGTGACTTTGCCTGGGGTATTGGATTGCCCAGGGTTGGAAGAGGTTGCTGGACTAGAGGCAGCCTCAGTTTCATGGCAGTTTCAAGGCAGAAGAGATCTTACATTTTTATGTGATTGAAAGATACTGCTCTGGAGGAACTAGCTCCGTGGAAACTCGGTCTTCCCGCCGCGGCGAAGGTGGGGACCCGCTAGAAATCCCAGGCGGAGGAAGCCTGGGAATGTGGGGTTCGGCAGGGCACCTGGAGCGCCCCCCCTACTCACGGGGAACCCCTTTTTGGGATTCCGGAGTGAAGTGGGGTGAGCGGCGCGGTGCTGCGAACTGACTGCTACTTTCACGGAGTGAAGCCGCACAGCCATCGCCGGAGAGCGCTGACTTTTTCCTGTGGACAATTGGATCTAAAACAAGTACCCATGAGTAGAAACGGAAAATTGGATCAAGAAATATCTTAATTTGACCTCGAAGCGGGAAGGTTCAAAACAGGAAGTCCGCCTTCCGCTTTTTGTATATAGACTGAAGCAAAAACCTTGTAAGCTAAAGCCTGGAAAGTCGTTTAAAAAGCCTAAATTTCCTTCATTTACAACTACTGAAACCCCCCTGGAAGCAGGAGAAAAGGGGGGGGGGACTTTGTGTAATGCCTGCAGGAGAGGGAGTGATGAAAGATAAGTTTCCACCGTCTCTAACCTGGGAACGGGGTGTCAGAGACAGAAATTGTTGGAGAGGTTCATTGACTGTGAATGGAATATTTTGACAGATAGTTAAAGAAGAGAAATAAACTGATTCCAATGTTGCCTTTTGCACTCTAAAGAAACAAAATATCTGAAAAAATGAAAGTAATTTTTCTTTGTTGAACTTGCCTTAAAAAGATGGATACAAATAGAAATTGTCTCTTCTAGAGGGAGCTTGCTAAATTGTTGCTGCAGCCACAGCTGTGAGATTAAGATCGTGGGATTAGTCCTTTTGACCTTGACTAAATATGAGCTGGAAGGAAGTTTTGGTGCTTGCTCTATGCAAGACAAGTGCTTTGTTGGAACAAATGCATGAGAAGATGGATCTGATGAATGAGAAAATGGATTTGATGACTGTTGTGGCCAATAACTGTGGACAATTAGTGAATAGTGATACAGAAATCATCCAGGGTCCAACTCAGGAACCTGTATTGATTGGGCAAGTGCAGAAGACAATGGAGGAGGCTGCGGTTGCACCTCAAATAATGCAAATGGAGAGGCCCAAGGCCCCACAGGAGCATAAGCCGTTGTTGTTGAAGATTGAAGTTGGAGACCTACTCCTCAATGAGAAAGGAAAGAAATTAAGAAAGAGACCAACAAAAGACAAGAAAAAGTGCAAGTATAAACAAGAAGAAGAAGATCTGCAGAAGGCACATGGAAGAGACTCAAGGGCCTCGGACATAAGGCTTCCAGGTTGATGGACTAGATGGAATGGACAGTAAGGACTGACACGACCCGAGACCAGGAAGAAGAGACACTGGATGAAGATTGGAAGAAAATTTATAAAGAAAACTTTTTATTTAGGGAATTAGCCTAAAATTAATGAATATTATGGAAAATGTTGGAATGAAACTATATGACTCCAGCAGAAATGATATCAGGGGTTATGTATAAATGAGTATTAAGTTTCAAGCTTTAAGGTATTTTATGGTAAGATAATGTTAAATAAATTAAGGTAATTTGAATAACAGAATATGGGGAAAGATGGAAAGGATCTGTCGAGTTAATTAATAGGTTAAATTGTTAAGATAAATTATTTAATAAAAATTGAGAAAGATGGAAAGAATTTGCTGAAATAACTAACTAAACTAGAATACAAAAAGGGAGGTGCGAGGAGGTCAATGAAACAAGAAAATGGAAGTTATATGGGATTTGTGTCTTTCTTTTTTCCATATATATATATATATATATATATATATATTATTCACTGTATTGATGTATTGGTTTTTATGTTTTGCGTTTTTTTCTTCTTTTTATGTATTGTAGTGTTGTTTTTTATTTTTTATTTTTTTCTGTAATTCTGAAATTATTCATAAATATTTTTTTTTTTAAAAAAAAGATACTGCTCTGGGGCCCTGTTAAGCACTCCACCAACATACAAAAGCTTCCTGCATAAATTCGAGCACATGGGCGTAAGCACCTTTTAATTGTGACATGTGTGGCATATGTAAGTCAGTACTTTGATATGGCCAGTTTATCATTGAGTTTGAGGCAGGGAACAGCTGCAAGGGAGAAAATATCTTTGGAATTGATATATTTCACCATCTCCCCCCCCCCCCCCGCAATTCTAACAAGACAAGAAATATACAGTTAAGGTTCAACTCTTGCCTAAAAACAATCTCACTGTTCCTTGAAATATTCTTCCCAAGAGTATTGTTATATTTGTAGTGAGTTACCACCAACCAAGGTGTCATATCAGTAAGCGCTGCTGAGTAAGGCATGTTGTTAAATTTGTAGAGTGTCTCTGGCATCATCTGCCTCAGCAGATCAACAGTGTCCCCTGCTATGAGTGCCTTTCACAGACTTAGAAACACAGCATATGCTTGTGTGCATAATGCCTTTGAACTGGAGTAACCTTTTGTCTTTAACTGAGAAAAAACTGTGATGGGGGGAGGTATTTATACCAAAAATGACTTGGTTTCCCTCCACTAAATATAATCCAGAATATTGAAGCACTTTCAACTTTTGTACTACGCTCCATGACAATGTGGTACAAATATTGTTCCACTAAATTTCTCTCCCCTATTCTCAATATATAGTGCTCTTTCAGCTTTCAGTTTAATAAATCATTACAACAATCCTATTGGAAGGTAGATTCACAGTAATGGTGCCTGAAGCCCAGACAGATTAGCTTTTCAAAGTGTTGGTGTTGACCTTTATGCCTTGAATGGCTTTGGCCCTGTATACCTGAAGGAGCACCTCCACCCCCATCATTCGGCCTCAACACTGAGGTCCAGCTCTGAGGGCCTTCTGGTGGTTCCCTCATCACAAAAAGTGAGGTTACAAGGAGCAAGGCAGAGGACCTTCTTGGTAGTCGTGCCTGCCCTGTCAAGAAAATAACCAGCTAAGTGTGCCTTGGGCAAAGTCAAACCACTGGAGAATCACAGCTCCCGCTGTGGCTGCAGAAACCAGTAACTCATAACTGCTGCCTCCCACATTGTTTTGTAGCCCATTGACTTCTCTGGGCTGCAAGCCTTAGCAGTATGTATAGAGGTCCTGGGATGTCCAGATGATAAGACCCCCCTCTTGGTCTCACTGATATGGCCCAAAGAAAACCAGAGCAATACATTTGGTACCATCTTGGCTGCAGGAACTGGTGGAAGGAGGTGTACCATACACCATCCAAGTGGTTTAGGGACTCAACTCAGGAATTGAGTAAGGTTTACTCCTTAGTCTTTCCTTTCCTTAGTCTTTCCCAAAGTTATCCCACAAGGAAGCAAGTATGAATTTTTCCTCGGGTCTTACTCTCATGAATGAGTATAGCTTCAAGGCAGTGGAGGTTTAGGATCAGAGTTTTCCTTCTCCTAGATGGGCTACCTTCCTAGCCTGACGATCCTCATCTGCCCTTCATTCCCCTCTACAGTACGTGCAGTAACTGCCATTTTGACCACTGGACCCACTATTGATCTCTTTTACTCAATCCACCAGAGCCTGTCTTCTCATGCAACATGTCTCTAACTCACCAAGGGTTCAGCCAGCCGGTTGAAGCTGTTTCCCAGGGTGTGGCTGCTTTCACATGCTGGCAGATTGCAGGAGCCACAGATGGGAGCTGAGTACAGGGTGGGGTCCAAAGGTGGGCAAACTACCTCAGAAGATGCATGGCATGTCCCTCACCAGAGGTACTACTCCTTCCAAAACACCCCATACTCATAGACTCATAGAAATATAGCAAGTAAAGCCTTTCCTAACTAGAGATACTTGGTGGGAAAAGCTTCACCTGGTTAATTTCTACAAGGTACCTGTTGTGCAGAAAAAATGGCCACCACCTCTCTTCAGCTAAATTGAGCTTCACTTTTTTCATCCATTCTTCATTATTACCTTCTGGCAACATGTGGTGGTTTTGCTTTGTTTTGCTTGTTTGTTGGAGAAATTCCATATAAAACACAGCTTTCTTGTACTTGACTCATGGGCACTGCTGAAGGCCACTTGCCAGAAAGGACAAATAGGTAGCACATCAAAGCAGAAGGTACGTTTCTGAATTTGTCACAGGACTGCTAAGTTGGACTTACTATGTCAACATTTCTGGTCAGATAAAATAATCATAGAAGTTGGGGTGAGTGGACAGATCAGTCCATGTCACTTGCACATGTATTTGCTCATAAACTCTATTTCTTCATTAATCTTCAGCCTTTAAAAAGTTGCCTGAAAAATTAAAAACTCCAATATGCATGTTAGTCTTGGAATTGGAGATCAGGTCTGTTCAAAATCCAGATTAGCTCTCGTGGATATTTTTAGCACATCCCCAAACTGAATATTCTTTCTGTTTCTGATTCTCTCTATGAGTTTCCCTTTTGTAAGCCACAGCCTTTGCTTCTACCCACCTATCTCTAGCTACTTTCCATGTTCTTGTTTCCTTTGTCTGCCTCATTCCCTTGCTTGCTGGTTTTTGCTCCCCTCTTAAGTATTTTCTTGGGAGTGACTGTGCTCCTCCT